TCTCACCATAGGGGCCCGCTTATAATAGACATAAACACTCTTATGCTAATTAGCCATTATTTCATTTTTAATAGCTATTTTATTAAAAATATTATTTTAGTTCATGCTTTAAAAAGAGAAAGACTGGCCCTCCCTGGTGGTGCAGTGGATTAAAGCACTGCACTAAGAAGCTTAAGCCACTTCCGCATGAGTTCAATCCCCGCCTGCCCAGGAGGAGTTCCACATGGCGCAGCAGACCTCTCCTGACCCTCCCACTGCTCCCCTCAGCAGTGTACTTCGTAGATCTGCCTGTTCTACTCCCCGCTCTGTCTCTGGTGAATCCTCTCACCCGCCGCATCTCTGGCCTGTACCCCAGTTCTGTATGAATAAATAAATAAATCTTAAAAAAAAAAGAACAAACATTTCTAAAAAAAAAAAAAAAAGGCTACCACACAAAATAAATAACTCTTTAACTGAAATGGCAACATCAACTACAGAAGAGTGGGTTGCAAGGATAGCAACTGAGCAGGAGGAAGCGAGGGACCAACTGTCCCACTAGTTTCCAGGGTGAACTGAGAAATGCTATGGCTCCTCCCTCCATGTGCACCTACAACGTCAGAACTTTCCATAATTTATTTACAAAGAGTGAGTATGCACAAGAAAGAGAAAAAGCAGGTGTGCACCTCCGTGGTGGCACAGGGGTTAAGTCTCAGCACTATCGCTGCTATGTCCTGAGTGGTCAGGTCTAGGGATGTAGCCCACTTGGTCTGGTCGACTTCACCGTCTCACCCCATCCTCGCACTTCTGGCCTACACCCCAGGTCTTCTATACAAAAACATAAAGTCACTTATTTAGGCTCTTAGCTTACTTAAATCACAGTTGAACTAACTGAAGACTCCATGTTTCCTGTCCTCCATGTCCTATAGACACCCATCACTTGTCCCTGACCACTGTACCCTGAGACCAGAGTGAAGAGGTCTGCTGAGAATGCATTTGCTGCTGACATTTCGGACACGCAGAACCTATCCCAACGCTTCCACTGGCCAGAACTGAAGGTACCAAACATTTACCCACAGACCTCTTTTGAAACTTTATCTCACAAATAGCATTTCTCACTTAAATAATCAAATTTATTTCTGTCTCTCCATGAGAACTGCCAAACAGGTGCTCCCTGGTGGCACAAAGGGTTAAAGCACAGTACTAAAGAAGCTAAAGGCACTTCAGCAGACCTTCAGCACAGTTTGATCCCCACCTGCCCCAGAGGTGACCCACATGGCACAGTAGAACTCTTCTGACCCCACTCACCGCTCCCAAAGTATAGCAGTGTACTTCGTCGATCTGACTGTTCTGCTCCCCACTGTCTGGGGAATCCTCTCACTGCCCCTGCACCTCTGGCCTGTACCCCAGTTCTGTATGCATAAATAAATTATCTTTAAAAAAAGAACTGCCAAACAATAGGAGATAGTGTTGCCAAACTGACTTCTGACTTGTGCTTTCTAGCCCCAAACAACTAACTAGCTAGAACTGCCTTATTCTATTGTTTGGTCTTTGCTTGGTCTTTGCTGTCCTTCCACTAACTGCCTTCCCCCCTCCCCCCCTCCACACAAATATCATTTCCTTCTTAGTCAGGGGGATCCAAAGTCCCTGTGGACAATGCCAGTACATAGAGAACACTGCAGCCACCACACTGCCCTAAACTGAAAGCAGTCTAGAATCTGGCAGACCCACCAATGGCTTGCTATGCTAACCTCCCAGCAGCTAATTTATCTATGATCTCAAATTACATCAAATTTCCAAGGACTAGAGAAAATATTTCCCATGAGCAAGAAGTTCAATTATTTGCAGGGGGAAATGAATGGCTCCCTTTGCTTTCCTGACCCTCCCATTGGATCCAGGAAGCAACATCAAGTGCCCATGAAGAGACCCCAAGTAGAGCCTTCACTAAGCTAAAAGCAGTGAGAAAGAACAAATTCTGCAACCCACAGCAATGGATCTGAAGACTCTAAGCTGAGGTATACTATTTAAATACACACCATATTATTTTTTAATGCCATATTTTAGATAACAGGTGTTGTGATTGTTTTTGGAAGAAGTTATCAAGCTTTATAGAATTATAGGTGAGCAAGTTACCAATGAAAAGGCCCAAGCTGTTATCAGTTAGCACATACAATAAATTCCCTCCCCCTTCAGCCGCCATAATTTATTTCATGGAAGTTAGAATTCTTTCCACTTGTGTTCTTAAAAAAAGGAAATTTAGAGCCAGCCTAATGGCATCTTAAGGTTTGAGGAAACGGTACTTTGAGTCCACCCCAGGAAAAAGATCATTTGGAAATCTCAGTAAGATTTTTTTAATGAAAGCATATTAACAAGGCCCTCCCTGGTGGTACAGAGGATTAAAGCACAGCACTACAAAACTAGCTGCAGCTGCTTCAGCACAAGTTCCATCCCCAGCTAGGGAGCTGACCCACATGGCACAGCAGACCTCTCCTGTCTCGCCCAATGCTTCCCTCAGCAGTGTACTTCCTTGATCTCCCTGTTCTGCTCCCCATTCTGTCTCTGGTGAACCCTCTCACCGCCCCTGCACCTCCAGCCTGTACCCCCACTTCTGTATGTATAAATAAATCTTTAAAAAAAAAAGTGTATTAACAATCTTCACCTTAACCTACCACAAGTCAAAGTAATGAGAACTTTAAGTTCACGAAAAGGGGAATATGAGCTCATGGAACTAGTCATTTGCTCTTGCTGTTAGACCAGCCCTGTTCTATAAAATAACCCATCAACTTGGATTGGTGTCCCTCAAGTACCCTTTCTTCATCTCTGCCTCCCCATCCTGGGAGGGATCATGCTCCCCAGCCATGCAGGTCAAACTAGGAACAGACTCTAGAATTTGATACTCCATACTGCTCAGGGACTAATATCTTACTCAGCCAACCTGTGTTTTAAGAGCTCACTCCGCCCTCCTTCAAAACCAAGCTAACACTCAAGTTCACTATATTCGAGTGGATTATCTCATGTAATCTTAAGAGTTATGTTATTGGTTTTAATGTAAAGACGAGGAAAATGAGAGTTGGGAAACTTACCTGAGTGCATGGACTAGAAGCTTGATGGTGTGACTCCAACCCTGCACACTTAACCCTTGTTAACCTACCAGGTGGTGTTAATCCACCACGTGTATTCTGCTTCGGTGATTTACACACTAACCCCAGCCCTGAATCTGACTTACAACTCAACCCCACCTCAACAGGAAGAAGTTCCATTGGCTGACAGAATCAGGAGGGATCCCACAGAATAACTATAATCAATACATGAAAAAAGTCAAAACCCACTCTTTGCCAGCCAAAATGAAATGCTACATTTTTTTGTTGTGAAACAGCCTCCTGGTTTTCTGAAATCCCCCATTGATAGTCTGTTCAGATTACTGGATATCTTCTGCTGAGTGTAAGGACTGCAATCCCAGAAGAGATCTAGTATGTCATTTGCTTTGTAAGAGGGAAAACTAAAAAAAAAAAAAAAAAAACAAACATTCTGGCTTGGGGTCTTTCATTCAGAGGGAAAGACACTCTTGAACATTTTGGTAGCTGTAAGAACTGACCTTAAATAGAAGCTTATTATCACAGATAAAATGTCATAGAATACTGGGTACTTTTCACTTATGAAAATCACCTGTGATGTAAATTCAAAGTGATAACTAAATCTTCAACTTCAAAAAAGCCAAGGAATAAACAGTTGCAAAAAAGACAATTCATTGAAATGAAGGCTGTAAGGCAAATTTGCAAATACCACATGCACTTGTTTTATATGAATATCCATAGCCACATACAGTATTAAAATGAAACTAAAAGGGAAGTAATTCACTGTACAGAAGACAAAACAATACCCTTTTTTATTTTTAAAACTCTGGTGAAATAGGTTTCCATATGACATCCCATTTAAAAAAAAAAAATTAATGTAAACCAACCTGTTTGTGGGTTAGTCACACTAGAGACTTCATCATAGTGTGTACAGATGCCTAAAGTATTTACAAATGTTATCTGTTAGGTAGTAAAGTTTTGTTGCAATTTTCCAGCACATAATTCCACAGTAAAATAAAAGGGAAATATTGGTGTCCTTGTATAAAAATTCTTAACAAATGGATAAAGGCAATTTTCCTGAGAGAAGATTTGTTCTTGAAATATTTTTCTTTAACAATTGGAAAAATAGAAATGGGATGTAGTTGTAAAAGAAGCATAAGAATGTCTAAGTTAACATTTTTCTTTTAAATTATTTAAGTACCATTAAGTTAAAATGTTTACATTCATTATAAAAATGTTGTTAAATCTTATGCAAATGATTTAACACTGATTGCTGCAACGCAAATTGCACTTCTTAAAAAAATTATTGTATACATGGAAGAAAAATATCTTGTTTGCTACCCTGTTTACAAATTCCGACTGACTTCAGATCAGTCACACAATATGAACTTTGAGAAACATCAGTCACAGTGTAGTTAGTTATGATGCAGTCTCGAAAACTGAGAAACATTTTGACAAGACATCTCGTGAACAACTCCGCCTCCATTGGTGTGTATCAAATGGTCTTCTCCATGAGCGCATGTGAAATTTGGGTGTGGAAAAGGTATGAAGAACTTCTGGGATAACCAAAAACGATCAGAAGAAGTACATGATTTGGGGCAATAGACATAAAAGCTTTCTAAAAAAATCGCTCTCAATATCCCTTCGTAGGCAAGGCCCGGGTCCTAGTCCCGGTCTCTGGAAGTGGCACAGCAAACATCAATCCCGGCGGTCCCTGGGGCAGGCTGGCTGGTGGTGGTGTTGCCAGGGTGAAGGCTGTGGACGGCACTGCCCTTCCCAGGAAGACCTGTCTTCTGTCTCTCTTCAGAGATAGGGCCTGGGTAGTAAGGCAGAGCGAACCTCTTGGGAAACACAGCTTCAAAGTAAAGGCACGGAAATCACGCGTCAGAGGCATGTTCTGTCAGCATACTTGCATCAGTGTGGACTGCTTGACAAAATAAGAGTCAGCGCAGGTCCGTTCCAGCGGGGCCCTGCAGGCGCCCTCTGCTCCGCCCAGCATGGCTCAGGCCAGGGCGAGGGCGCACCAGGAATCCTGTCTCACCGAGGACGTGACTTCAGCCGGAGAGGCCAGGCTGACGCCTATGTACAGCCCATCTTGACCTGAGTACTTGAGCTCGCTGTTGTCAGGATTAGTGCTCTCTCCAGCACCAGACATCACCGAGGCACCCGCCTGGCCAAAGAGGGGTCACAGAGGAGGAAAGAGAAGGGGAGAGATGGTTACGATAAATTTGTCAGGGGGCACACTCTTGCTAGGTAAGCACAGGGGGACAAAGGGACCGGTCAGTGTGTGGTGCCACTAACCTGACCCAGGCAGAAACTCTCTGGCTAACGTGAGAAGTTAACATGGAAGTAACCACCTCGCAAGAGGCAGCCAGACAAAGGTAGGGAAGGGGAACCAGAGGAAGCTTATTTGTTTAAAAAAAATAAATAAAAGTGCCAAACTTTCAGATCTGAAAGTGAAGTAAACCATACCATGTAGGTAAACAGGACTTAATGGTGTCCAGACAATCTAATCATCAGAAAAAAAAAGTACAGAGCAGAGTGGACATACACACCCACCCAGGGCCACAAGGCTTAGCCGCCAGGGCAGTGTAAAAAGGAAGGCTACACAGTTCAGCATGGTCTGCTAAATGAAATTTTTAAGCACTGACTTCATGGAACATTAACCCATGCATCATAGGCCTTATTGGCTACCTTATTTGCCTTAATTCTTTCCAAAAACATAGCATTTTTGTAGCAGGTCGCATTATAAGGCTGGGAAGCAGGACTTCAGGAGATCTGATCTGCCTTGTCCATCCCGACTTCCACCCAACTGGACAGACCAAGTCTAGCCTCTCCGCAGGCATGCAATGCTTTTCTTCTTTTCTAGAAAAAAAGCTACCTGAACTCAAAACTTTAAACAACCCACGCTTAAAGATATACATTCAAGTCTCTGTGCATAAAAAAGAAAATTCCAGTCACTGAGATGTCTAAAATTTTAAAACTGATTCCAATGAAATTGTTGAAATAGCCGAGAACATCCTGTCTAACAAACAATGGATTTCCAAGTACCATTTTTATAAGGCATCCAAAAGCTGCAACGGCAGGTACCTATGTGAACCAAGAAACAGGCAGACTGGAAAGTAAGCTGCTTGCTTGCCTTCTATGAATAATAAATGAGTGAATGGGGCAAAGGGGTGAAGGGAGAGCTGAGAAAAAGAATTGCAGAGGGGAAAAAAGGATGTCTGCCAAGGGGTCTCGGACTGTCTACGTGGGGGGGGTGTCAAACTTCAAGGCCTGGCTAACACAGCCGCCTCCTGAGTGTGGTCTCCTCCCCGAGCCTCCTCCAAGGTAACTGGCCTTCATCTTACCTACCTCAGAAGTGGTTGTGCAAATTAAATGAGATAATGTTAATAAAACTGTCAGCATGTTGCTTTTCCATGTTAAACATTCCACAAAGCAAAGTGCAAGTAAGGCTGTTGCAAGAATTAAATCAGTTAATGGTCAAGTCCTTATACTAGTGCTGGCAATATTAAAGATGACAAGTATATATTCCCTCTATTAATATTTTATAATTTTATTATTGTTAAGGAATGTAGGCTTAATTTAATCTCCCTAATTTCAACCTTCAGCCCAGGTCAGGTGCTGGGGTCACCATCATCTCTGGATGGGTATAGCAGAGGGAACAGAGTAAGAAATGAAAATCACCTCAGTGATGACCTGACTCTGTTAACTGATAGCGCTTGCAAAAGAGAAAGCAAGGTATTTCAGTAACAAGTTGAGGCTCACTGACCTTTTGTCCATATTAAGCCACAATCAAGAAATCCTAATTCCTTGAGAATTTATTCTTATACCTGAACAGACCCCGAAAGCTGCCACTAAATTATTTATTGACTTCTTTAGGCAATGTTACGTTATATGGCAGGCCGAGAGTCCCAATCAAAAGTCAGGCAACCCCAAGTCACGTTGAGTGATGGGCTCCTGAAAAATGATCAGCTCATTTGAAATCAAGAGCTACATTATGCCTCATTAGAAAAGAATATGATAAGTACTTGTACACACTGTTTCAGAACTTCAGTTTCAAATATAACATTTAAACACAAAATAGCTTTTTGGCAAAGTTGACTGTACCTCAGAAAGATAGATTTAAAATCCGTATGATGACACATAATGATGAAATTGTAATGTTGCCAGGACCCTCGCATTTATGGCAAAGTGGGATGCAGTTATATACACCTTAGAATGCAATTAGCAGAGCCACCAAAACCTGACACTCCTCAGCTCTGTAATTTCACTTCTAGAAATATAACGAAAGAATTCAAAGGAAGGAAAAGGCTCCACACGGGAAGACATCCATAGCAGGGTTACTTATAATAGTGGAAACCATGGAAATAATCTAATGTCTAATGATATGCGGATGGTTTAGAAAAGCAAGGCACATCCGCTCAGTGAACTATTACGCAATTATTAAAAATAACATGTAACAAAATGGAAAAAATCCCATAATGCATTGTTAAATGAAAAACAACCAGATACAAATTCTAACTATGTCATCACTACAACTTACCCATTCACATGCAAAAAAGTATTTTGAGAGAATGCAGGAGAGAATACAGTACTTAAGATCATTCCATGGCGCTGAACTTAGTCATCTATAGCTTTCTTTTTTAATTTGAAAGGCACAGTACAGTCTAACTTTGGGGAGCAGAAAACACTAGCACCAGAAACATAAGACATAAGCACTGGGGGGAGGAGCTGTCCTGGACAGCATCTTAAAGTAGTATGAAAACAGAGGGAGTTTTCAGAGTGGAGGCACAGCAGAAAGAAGAAAGAACTAGAAAGCTTCCCAGGCAGCCCCCCAAAGTCATCTCGTGCCACTGGCATTGGTGGGCACCTCAGCAGTTGTGCACATGTGAAACACAGTTCCTATTGGTTAAAACACCAAGCACAGTATCTGGATTCAATATTCTGTTCTGAAAACAGGTATTCTACCATAGTTCAAAATTGACATGACTCTTTTTAGGAAACCTGGTTTTTCATTTTATTGTTGATCATCAGTATCTTTTCCTCATTGGTGACATTTAAAAGCTACTAATCAAAAATTGGTTCAATGTGGGGGAGAAAAAAAAAATCAGAAAAAACCTACTGTGACCCTGGGCCCAGTACAGACACACGCAAACGTGAATTTCAGTATGTTAATCGTGTTTTCCCTCATCTAGCTAATACTTTAAAGGCCTTTAGTTGAACACAGCAAAAGCAGGCACTTCACTAACCTAACCTAAACCAGCAAGTGTTCCCGAACAAAGAGGAAAGTGCACTGGCGTCCCCAGACTGAACCATCCTTCCTCCTCAAGCAGGCAGAGGTCCGACTCTTTCTCTGATCAAAGTGCAAATGAGGGTGGAGCAGAAATCTGTTCTATGTTTCCATGCAGGGCTTATCTGCCCTCCACCCTCCCACAGACAACTGAAAATGGAGGCACTTCCTGTTAAAAGAATGTGTTATCAGCAGCACAGCCAGCCTGGGCCCAGCCCTGAAAGCTGGCCAGGCTGGGTGGTGGAAGCCTGGGCAGAGCAGAGCTCTATGGGCTGCAGCAGGGTCACTTGCTGCAGACAGGGATGTGGAAAATAGACACTGGCCTGTGGAGTGGGCACAGTCATCTTCAAATCACCGGATCGTTCTCCCAGTCAGAATATGCCTTCACGTATTTTCTGAAAAGTCAAGGATTTCTGATGTGATTAATACAGAGTCACTGCCCAGCAGAGGGTAACCGACGAACAATGTCTCATCTTGCTCCGCACAGTGATCATCTTAATACAGCCTCAACACCGCACCTGAAGCAGGTTGAGAGCATCTATGGGCTCATTCCAGAAGAGAAGACTTTAATGATGTTCCTAGACCCTTGGCTGGAATCGAGACTGTCAGCTTCCATGACCTCTGATCCTACAGTCAAGTTGGTGGTTTGTTTTTTCTTATGAGGGGACACCAGGCACCTCTCACTGTCAAATCACTCTGCTCTGCTTTTGCAACCTGTAGTTTAGACTATCATTGTGCTTTAAAGCAGTCTTCCTCTCAACAGAAAAACTTAAGAACTATGTGTGTGTTCCAACAAAGAAACTCAGATAAATCTTAATGTCCGCTCTTAAAGGCTGTGCTGATTTCAGCTTGAATGGAGGTTACCAGTACCAGACACAAAAAGTGATTCCATAATAGTTTAGGAGGTGACATTTGGAAGATACACACAAAACAGGTTCTGTCTCTACCAGAACATGTGAACATCAATCACAACAAAACCCTCCAATTCTCCCCTAACAGCTCAATAAAGCAAGAGATCAAGGGGATCAAGGCTGCCTTCTCTCACAAAAGGGAAGAAGCACAGTATTTAAACTGGCTTAATTTTTAGCAGAACACTTTTTTGTAATTTAATAAATAAATTCCTTACTAGGAGGCTCACCAGCTGACACACCCTCCCCCCCCATTACTGCCACTGCATAGGCCAGGTTGTATCCATCTCAAGAGACAGTGCCCCTTTCACGGTGGTAGAACAATTCTATCCACACAATCTGTTCTGGGATCAAACTGCTTGATGCATCTCTACACACTCAAACAGCAAGCAAGTAGTAGTGAAGAAAGGCATGGCTCCAAGTTTAAAAGTATCCTGGAGTTATTAGTAAAATACTGCTATTTTACTGCAGTGGGGAGGGCTTGTCCCACCTTGAAAGAGTTTATCTTCTAAAATAAATCAAAGTTCATGACTATTCTCACCTTCAAATTAAGTGGTAAATGAACCCAAGGCAAGATTTAAAACCTGTGAGTTATGATGTTAATCTTAAAAATCCAACTGTATAGGAGGTTGCATGGATGTTTGATCTCAACATCTCAATTAGAAAAAGCATACCATGGTCTGAGAATCAAGCAGTCACTGCAAGAAAGCATTATGAATACTAAGTACTCACAAGGAATGAAAAATAAAATGCTGCTATCAGAGAAATAAAATATTTAAATTACAGTTACTTTATTAACACAATAGCTCTACATTACATTTCTCCCATTAGAAAAGTCAAAGATTTGTTAATAATGTCTCAGAATTTAAAAATGCCATGCAAATAAAGCACATCATTATTAACTACCAACATCATATTTAAATAGCATTATTCTCGAGCTTCAAAGAGGTCTGCAGGCATCTCCCACTT